CGGGCATGACATTTTAATTGTATGACTATTATGTTTATCTCTAAATGTACCTTTGTTGCACGTTTATGTGATGCGCTATGTATTTATATATATATGTTTGTGTATGTGTGTGCATGTATGTATATGTATGTATATGTATGTGTATGTATGTGCATGTATATGTATGTAGATATATATATATATATATATATATATATATATATATAAAATTTTATATATTTTTTTTTTTTTCATACACGCGCAAATATTTGAACCGTCACTTATTTAGATTTTAAATTTTTTTTATATATGTACATATGTGTATATCTCTGTGTGTGTGTGTGTATATGTGTGTACATTTGTATGTATATGTATGTATGTGTATATGTGTGTATGTATGTAAGTGTGTATATATGTACGTATGGAGGTGTTTATGTATGTATATATATAGGTGTGTATGTGTATATGTCTATACATGTTTATGTGTGTGTGTGTGTGTGTGTGTATGTGTATATATACATGTGTAAGGGTGTGTATGTATTTGCATGTGTATATATATACATGTGTAGTAGGGTGTATGTATTTGCATGTGTATATATATATACATGTGTAGGGGTGTGTATGTATTTGCATGTGTATATATATACATATGTAAGGGGTGTGTATGTATTTGCATGTGTATATGTATGTGTATATGTGTGTGTATATGTATGTGTGTGTATATATGTATGTATGTGTGTATATGTATGTGTGTATGTGTATGTGTGGATGTATGTATGTGTGTGTATATATATATATATATATATATATATATATATATGTATAGGTATATATATATGTATGTGTGTATGTATGTATATGTATATGTATCTGTATGTGTATGTGTATGTATAAGTATGTATGTATGTATGAATGTATACATGGGGCATATGTATGCGTGTATATGTATGTGGAAAGTGTGTGTATATGAATATAGATGAATATGTGTATGTGTGGATATGTGAATATATTTTAGGTTTTATATATATATATATTTGTGTATATATATATATATATATATATATATATATATATATATATATATATATATATATGTGTGTGTGTGTGTGTGTGTGCATGTGTATGTACACGTATGTCTGGTGTGTGTGTGAGTACATGCCTAAGTGTATGTACCTATTGTATATGTTTTTTTGTGTGTATTAGTATGTGTTTTTGAACATAGAAATATTTGGTCCTTGCAAAATGAGACAATCGTTATATTCATCTTCATATATTTATATTTGATTTATAACCTGTAGTCTATACTAATTTTCCCAATTACAAAGCAGCCCTTTAAGTAAACACAATTTTATTTTCCTTCGTCCCATCTCTCCCCACCCTTTTTTTTTTTTTTTTCCCTTCCTATCCGAATTGTCTGTGGTGTGTATATGTCACCAATGAAATGTATCTTTATGTATTAGACATCCGTCGACTTTCTTTCTCTCCTCTTTTAAATCCACCCCCACCCACATCTCCAAAATTCTCTCTGTTAGGTTTCATGTCACTCCTCCTCATACTTACACTTTCTCTAAATTCTGTTTTGATTTCCGGAGTTGTTTTTTCTGTTTTCATTTTGAATTTGTAGGTCTGATGATTTGGATCGTATTTACGATTCCAATGGAATAAATTATGACCATGGAATATTAGTGTTTAAGCCTTTTATATATATATATATATATATATATATATATATATATATATATATATATATACACAAATATATTATTATTATTATCATTATTATTATTATAAAATCTATATTTAACGGGTAGAAATCCGAGTTTGTTTTTGTTTTTTTTAACAATGAAATTAATATCTACGGGCCTATAGAAAGAATAGCCTATTAAGGAATCTATGCTTCCTTTAGAAAGACCTCTATCGCTAGGTTAGTAGGCATTATTAGCAATGTTTATGTATACAGATCTAGCCACTAAATGTAATGTTTATAGCAATAAGAAAAATCTCATTATTTACATTATTTGGACTATTGTCCTCATCTTTGACGCCATATTTATTACAACGTTTCGGTCGTTGTACGCTCCGGCCTTCTTCAGGTGGTTGCAATGTGGAACTGAACCGTTTATTTCGCTCATTGGGGTAGACTGTTCTATTTCCACGTGCCATGTTTAAAGGATGTCAGTTATCATTTATCTCCTGTTAATTCCCCTCTCCAAGTTCCCCACTGCCTTAACTGGGTATTGAACTCACACTATTTGGATCCTGTCACTGGATCTAACCAACGCCTTTATCCAGTGTGCCATGAGTCTGTGTGTACGCTATCCCGTGCAGCTGCGGAAAGAAATATAAAGGGGAGACAGGCAGCCACCTTAAGTTAAGGCTTCAAGAATAGCAGAAAGATGTAACACGAGGGAAAGTAGAAAAATCAGGCATAGCTGACCACATATGGAGATAAAAGAGAGATCACCGCCCTCTTTGGGATCAGGTTGAGATCATAGACATCATTGGAAAATGCGTAAACTTAAGGAAAAGGCCACAAAAATCTCCTGTGCCGACCAAGCATAGAAATGAATACAATATGGGAACCAGTAATAAGGAGTGTCAGAGAAAAGCGATAATAACAACAAAAATTGCAATATGAGCTCTGCTAAAAACAGAAATGATAACAGCAAAAATTGCAACATGAGCATTGGTAAAAAAATGATTTCTGAAGACATTAGGTTTATAATACCCAGAAATTCATATACAGATGTCCTGATGGCGTTGGTTAGATCCAGTGACAGGACCCAAAGACTGTGAGTTCAATATCTGGTTAAGGCGGTGGAGAACTTGGAGAGGGGAATTAACATAACTGGTAACTGACATCCATTAAACATGGCACGTGGAACTAGAAGAGTCTACCTCAGTTCGACATTCTAACCACATGAAGATAGCCGAAACGTTGTAATAAATATGGCGACAAAAATGAGGACAATAGACCGAATAATGTAAATAGTGTACATAATACTTCATCTCAGACATATAGCCAGATTCTGAAGAAAAATCTCGTATTAAAAATATATCTATTTGTTGGATATACAGCTCGGAATTAGAAAACAGAGATACGAGTTCGAATTCAATCTACTTACGCGCAAATTATATCTCCTTCCTTAGCTATGGGTTAAACAGTAGGAAACGTATGCCCCCGTAGAAAAATTTATCTTTGTTATTTGTAATGCAATATTCCGTTGTAATTGAAATAATTATTTTCAAATTCCGAAATATATTAAAGCTTGAAATAATACACAACGTGTTGATAAACAGTAAAAAAAAAACTATATAAATCAAATAAACTGCATTGAAATATATATATATATATATATATATATATATATATATATATATATATAGTTCAATTCCAGTCGAATCCACTGCATTCACTTGGGAAAGGTATGTATCCTCTTCTTCCCTCCAGCTATGGGTAAAATAGCAGGACAGACTGGGTTCTATAGCCTTGGATGGCAACTGGTCTAGGAGAAGGACAACTCTGAATTCAAAACCTGCGGAGGGTCGTTTGGGAACCTTGTGGCATGTATTCAGTGCACCAGGTTTCTGTATTCGTCCCTCAAAAAGTGTGGCTGGTCCTGCACAAGGCCTTCACCACTATAAACAAATCTCATGTGCCGGTGTCGGGATGTCGGTTTCCTGGGGACTTATCGGCCTGACCCTCATACGTCGAACGCGACGGGAGAGTCGATTATATATATATAGCTTGTTTAAATGTTATACATACATATATATATATATATATATATATATATATGAATGAATTATAAAATATTGTACAAAGATAAAAATGTGTATGTATTATTAGTAGTACATATGTTTATTCATATCATATTTAACTTAAATCATTAATTGATGAATTTAATATTAAAATTATAATCTAATGCAAGTGTGTGCTGAAAATATTTCAGTTTGACAAAAAGGTTCTTCTAAATAAAAATCTGCCATTTGGCCGTTTCGTTTCATTTCGTGCCGTGGATGAAGCCGAGAATTTTTCAGTTTTCTGCATTATTTCGTTGGGTAATCTTCTGCTGGTGTATACAATTATATTTTCTGCAAAATCACGTTTATCTGTCAATGCTGACAATATGGACGTATGTACACAAAAAGAAACAAAATGATATATTTGCTGATCGTTTCAGTGTCGTTTTTTTTATTCGCTCCACTAAAATATAGAAAAAGATTTCGGTGTAGATTTTAATCAAATGTTCGCTCAATTTTTTATGCTGTCAGTTTTCTTTCATATAGTATAAGAAAATAAATTCTTCTATCGAAAACGAATTGGTTTGTAAATATATATATATATATATATATATATATATATATATATATATATATATATATATATATATATATATGTAATGTTTTATCTTCTTTATTCTATTGTCGTGTTGAAAGAGATTTGGGAAGAGGCAAGGGAAATTCTCAATGCAATAAGAAAAGGGAATAAAATGATAGAATCGAAGAATTTTATCAGAGGGATATTTCCTGTCATCTGACGTCAGGAAAATTATAGACTTCGTCTCACAGCAGGGATGCAACGAGAGAAAAGTGGAACAGTCGAGGTGGAAAAATGCGCAGATAAAAAAAAATGATAGCAGATACAGAAATATAAAGGACTGGAAGAACAATACTAAGAAAATAACAGGCAGACAGAAATATATATATATATATATATATAGATAGATAGAGAGAGAGAGAGAGAGAGAGAGAGAGAGAGAGAGAAATACAGTGAAAGAAAGAAAAACACACGCCAACAGACTGAGATAGATAGATGAACAGATTGAGAGAGATATATATAGATAGATACATAGATAGATAGATATAAACAGTGATGTATATTTATTATTAGTATAAATTGTCTTTGTAATTATGTATCAAGCAATATTTTATCACCCGCAGTAATTGTGTGTTACCATATATATATATATATATATATATATATACACACATACATATATATATATATTGCTACATAGCTAACTAGATAGATGAATAGACAGATACAAGCAAACAGACTCGTAGATAGATAGATAGATAGATAGATAGATAGATAGATAGATAGATAGATAGATAGATAGATATAGATTTATGAACAAACTGGGATATATAGAGTTGATCAGAGTGATAAATAAATATAATCAAAATGAGATAAATACATTACTAAACAGATACACAGATAGCTACGAAGAGATATAGTCTACTGCATATATATATATATATATATATATATATATATATATAGAGAGAGAGAGAGAGAGATAGATAGATAGATAGATAGATAGATAGATAGATAGATAGATAGATAGACTTGCCTAATACCGATTAGTTCAAAAGAGAAATAATAATCAACGAGGTTATGGAAAACTTCATAAACAATGAGTATCTACCCAGAAAAGGTGTCTAGAAGATAGATCTTAAAAGCAATAATGTATAGTATTTTTCATACCAATGATAAGGAAAAACAATGGCAATCAATGCAAAGTAGATAAATTGATAAAAAAAATATGACGCAGATGGGAAAAAAAGGGGCGGCCAAAGAAAGAAAGAAAGAAAGAAAAATGCTTTCAGAATAATATGATGAAACAATGTTTCAGTAGCCGAAAGATGGAAAAAAACAGGCACAAAGAAGGAAAGAAAAAGGAAAGGTGTGACAGAAAAAACAGAAAAGAGATATGAAGGAATAATGCTAAAATAAAATGCAGAATCATAATATATATATATATATATATATATATATATATATATATATATATATATATATATATAGTTAGTTCAATACAAACAAAAACCGAAGGGAAGTATGATGCATTGTCAGAATAGTGTAAAGGCATAGGAATGAATTCGAAGGAAAATAAAAGAAGGAATTTTAAAGGCGGTTAAAGCAAACCAAGTATTTAGAATAAAGAATATAAAAAATAAGAAATAAAAAATAATACTTAAAAAAATTGAATAGAAATAATAATAATAATAATAATTTCAGTAGTCGTAGTTGTAATTGTAAATATATGAATTTAAAAAATGGCCGCTAGGTATGTGTTATAAAAAGCCGGTGTGTCGACTTGACTGCTCATCTTTCTTCAAATCAGCGATGTTTCCAAAATTGATATTTTTTGATACCCTCCAGGCAAATCCGCTGGAGAAAATTCAAATCCCTGATTACAATTAAATTTCGTGGAGAAATGATAAAAAGAAAGTGAAACTCTCAATAACACATGTAATAAATGCAATTTATAAAAAACAAAAAAACAAAACAAGATTAAAATGAACAAGTGTAGCAACAACAGTTACGGGGAAAAATATGTAACATGCCCAAGAAAAGTATTAATAAAGATAGCAACACAACAAACACATTGTTGGTTACACACATGGAAGCAAGAATCTTCTAGCAGCAGTGTCCCTTCAGGACACTATCTTGGATGACCATGGCTCTCCACAATTTCCGACGCTTCGGTCCTCTAAGCAATGTTTGCCTTTTTAGTATCACTCCTAATCCCGTCTATTTAAACAATCTCGTTATATAGGTTGCTCGCTTATTTCCTGCTATCCCTTCTGCCTTTCAATGTGTCATGTAAGTGTCATATTTTCTAAGACGTCTTTTCTCTTTAGCAGACATACCTGTACGAAAGCAACTACGGTGGAGTAATGGATAGCGGTTCGGATTGAGGAATCGGAGAGCCGAGTTCGAATTCCAGTCGAATCCGTTACATTCACTTACGTGAATTTTTTTTTTTTTAAGCATTTAACCACAAGCAAGGCGGGAAGCCACTAGGACGCAGGGGGTTACAGAAAATTTATAGCAAAGATCAGATATGAGTGATAGAAGAAAGGATGAGGGTAATGGATAGATTAAGGCAACTGGAGATGTCGATTGACATTACACTTGAATAGCTGGAGATTATAGCTCACAGGGAAACAGGAGAGGGGAAGGGAGTTCCACAGGCGAGAGGTGCGAGACATGAAGCTATTAGAGTAGAAGAGATGGCTGCATTTAGGAGTTTCGACAGTGAAGGGGTGGGAGCGGGATGCCAGCCTCGTAGGGCGCTGGAATTCATGACGTCTGGGAACCAGCGAATGCAGCTCCTACGGAATTCTCCTCTCCAGCTATAGGTAAATAGCAGGACAGACAGCCTTGGTTGAAAACTGGCGTAACTCATAAAGAAATGACAAACTACTGCGGGAAAGAATAGCTGTCTCGCGTAAGCGTGTATCACGCATGGCACATAACTGACTGAATAAGTTCGATCCTTACTGGATACACCGTACCTTTGCCACATCTAAGCTTAGAAAATCACCATAACTCTACAAGAGGGATATGAAAGTTTCTTCGCCCGATCTTGTTGGGGGACTGACCACAAAGTATTTTTCTGTTCATTTGTGATCAAGTTCATTGGTTTCCAAATTTGTTTTAATCATGCGCCAATTTGTTCCCTTATATTAAGTGTTCCCTAAATATTTTTGTTTTCATGCTAGGATTAATAAATAAAAAGAAATTGTTTTCGTCGGCGTTTGATCTCTGATAAAGAACTGGCCTAAAGGTAGAAAAAATTGTCATAAAAAGTAAACAAGGATTTTCATCAGAAACAGAATAGTATAGAGAAAAGCTTTGAGATACGAGTTTCACGACGAGTTTTTTTTTTTTAAATATGTGTCGGTGTTAGGCCGATTTTTTTACCTTGAGAGCCCAGCTGAATTTTGAAATACGATCGAATTTCCGTTAAGCATCCGTTATTTATCACAGCGCGTCACAAACTTCGAGTGTATTTCCACTCAACAGTACAAGTGTTCACCTCGCTCTGGAAGGATCTTTGCCATATTGGGTTGTGTCTTCTTGTCGTTATCTTTCAAAATTCCTTTAGTGATGCAATGGGTCCAAAGAAAGTAAGTGCAAAAATCAGTGGTGAAAAGCCGAAAAATATCATTTCGCTCGAAGCAAACTGGGAAATTAATACCCCCCCCAAAAAAAAACTTGAGGAAGACGCACGACTAAAGGACTTGGCTAGACAAATAAAAAATACATGGACGATAACTAAAAAAAATATATAAAATTTAAAAAAATGTAGTTATAGTAACGGATAAAAAGTAAATGTTTAAAAAAAAATAAAATTAAGTGATAAAGTTATTCTTCACTATCGTAAACTACGCTAGCCGTTGCTAGGCTAGGTTAGCAGTCTCTAGGCTAGATGTTGTTGTCCCTCTCACTCTCCTCCGAGAATTACCCAGGATTCGTCTGAACTTCATGCTTGAGTACAATCTATTTTGTTTTATCTCTTTTATTTTATTGTTTGTAAACCACATTTCTTGTTTATTCACACATTTTTGCTTGTAAGAAACCTACATACACACAAAAATAGGGGTGAGTTTTAGGAAAATAAGGATGGTTTTTAGGGGCCTGAAACGGATCGGAAAAATTCCCATTAATTTCAGTGGGGAAAACTGATTTGAGATACGAGTCTTTTGAGATACGAACTCAAGTCTTAGAACGAATTAAACTCATATCTCAGGGTATTACTATATTCAAAAAAAAAAATGATGCAATATACAATTCAAAAGAAAAAAAAGAATTAATAAAACCGCCCTAATTCTCGAAGACGCCATCCTTGTATGGGACGGAATATCTCAATGGCCTCGTTTTAACGAATGCTTGATATTTTGAGCCCGCTGCGTGGTATTAATCTAGACGAATCCCCAGACCTAATAGTTTAGAGTATTCAAGACAGGAACGACAGGAGATCATATTTTCAGGGTGACATGTTAAAATTCTTGGCACAGTTACTACTAGGATACGTGTACCATATGGACGGAACGAAGATACTACTTATCCTGACCGAACATTTGTTCCAGTGTTTGACTAAGATACCAGAAAATTTTGCTGGCATGATACGGCTTTTATGAACTTGGCGGTCTTCACCCTGAGTTCTTCTGATACGTGATTCTCTATATTGCACTGTTTGGTAATGACCCTCATTTAATTACTAGATTTGTAGTTAGTCTTGTAAGATCATGGCCATCCTGACAAAATCTTAGGTTTTCTCGCGGTTTGGAATGACCGTTCTTCACAGAGGTCTACAGCTAGATTTGCATAGGTCTTTCTCTTGTTACAAACAATTCTTATCTGATAGATTCTTGTCTGGAGACAGGTGATGATTTTACTACACTAAAATACTTAATCTACAGTGGCCTAAGAAAAGGTTTTATCCAGGAGAAATGAACTACATCCAATTTCAAAGTTTAATTACTTAATCCTTATGCAACATAAACAAACAGTATTTGGAACTAGTATAGAGTAGGTCATCTATTTGCTAGTTTCAGTGCTTGTATTCGATTTTACATGGATATGATCCAGTTATCAACGATCGTCTGATCCATATTTTGCCACTCATTTAGCAATTTAAGGATTGCCACTGACGTGATTTTGGTTGCACGCTCTCGAAGTTTTCGGTGAAGGTGCTCCCATACGTGCTCTATTGGATCCTTGTCAGGATTTTGGGCTACCCATGGCAGTGACTTGATTCCTTGCGATTCCTTCCAGGCGTTTGATACCTTGCTCATATGACATGGAGCTCCATTTTCTTGAAAAAGGTAGACATTCTTGTCAATATGATTGGTTTCGAATAGTGGGAGCATTCCAATCTCTAATATTTGACAGTATTTTGGACCATTCAACTTCCAGACCAGACAGTGCCCCACACCATTACTCCAATCCCTCCATGTTTCACGATTGCCTGCAGATATTTAGTGTTCCAAGTCTCATTCTGATTTCTCCAAACATAAACCTGTCTCGAATTCGAATATTAGCAGAATTTACTTTCATCTGACCAAATTAGAGACTGCCAAAAATTCGTAATCTTTGTTCTCTAATTCTCGCCCAGTCTATGCGCATGTTCCTGTTAACCTCTGACATCAATGGCTTCTTTCTTGCAACTCTTTTTTGATAGCCTAGTTCTTTCAGAGTCTTTCTCATCGCATATGGCGACATTTCCATGCTGTTGGCAACATCTTTGACGCTCTGACGACGGTTTCTGATGACTTCCCTATTCAGCGCCGTTTTCGTTCGCTCGGACACGATGCTTGTTCTACCTGAACATTGCTCCACACGACAATGGCCTTCTTCATTAAATTGCTTGACAGCATTATAACACGTTTGATGATTAACTTGGAAAAAAAACTAGCAATTTCTCTGACTTTCCACACTGATGCCATCGTATTATTTGCTCACGTTGAAATTCACCAATTTCCTTACTTCCACGAACTTTCATTGCAAAATATAAGTCAACTATTGTTCATAGATTAGATTAATGCTAATACGGTATTTCTGAAAAAAGAAGATACATTATTACACAAACAAAAATTACTGTAATTGAAGGTGACTAAAAACTTATCATAGCCCACTTTAGTTTCTGTAAACGTATTGCTTCAACTCAACATATGAACGCACAATAGGTGTAAGCCTGGATTGATTGGTAGGGACGGCAACACAGAAAACACATGATTCTGAAGACATTCCATTACAACGTGTGTAGTATGGCATAGCGACTTGTCCCGCTGAAAGATGTTAATGCCA